TGTGCTCCCTCCTCCGATGACCCTTCGGGGTCTGTCGGTTTTTGGGTCCCTTTCCAGTGACCCCTTTTGATTTTTTGTTTTCTAGTTGTTTTGTTTTGTTTTATGTTCTTGTACAGTTTGTTTTTTCAGATTCGGCGACCCTTGGCTCTTTCCTATTGATCTTGGTAGGGGCTCGTTGGTTTTTTCTTTTGTTCTGTTTGGTGCAGATCCGACGGCCTTCTTTCTCCTCCAGTGAATCTGAGGCGACACACGCGAGGGCATCCAGATCTGACGCCCACCGCGACTCTCCTGCTGGTTCTGAGGGACTTCCGCCGCCAAATCGAGTGATCGCCCAGCATCTTGGAGTCTGGTGCTATTTCTTCAAGGGTAGATAGAAGGGTGTCTCGTATGGATCGGTCGACCAAAGACCGTGGTATTTTTGAGGTCGTTCGTGGTTGTTCGAGTGCTGAGTGCACTTCCCTTCAGCCTCTCGATATGGGTCTACTCTGATCTTTTGTTCCAGTTGTTTTTACTATTTGTTATCTTTGTAGATGCTGTATGGCGGTCTTTGTAATGAAATGATTCCATTATCCTCAAAAAAAAAAAAATCTTAGAGTAAGTGGTCATTTTCGATGTTTGTTGAAAAACCTCCATGTGTAATTTTGTTAAAATTTTTTGAAGTAACAAGTGAGTAAAAAACTCTCAACATATTATTTTTTATTGTATAATAACAAATAACCATATTTTATCTTTTATCTCATTTCACTTATATATCATATTATTCGACTCGAATTTAAACATTTTATTTTCAAAATCAAATTAGATGGTTACTAAATTACTGCTCTCAATGTACTTAAATTCAGACACCTACGTTTGATTGATGAATTAATTGGCACGGTGGACTGGGTCGAAAATGATCACTCCTTTAAATTGAAATATTCCTTCAATTTGTATGAATCGAAGAACCGAAATTTCCTTTCCTTGTCAGACAAGGACATAATGCTACCCAAGAACTCAAACACCTTGACCCTCTTCTTGCTGTTATTCCAACTTCAATTTTTCCTGGCCGTCGATCAATTCATTTATCTCCCTCAGATGACTTCGGAGAATCCCCATGGCAAAAGATTCTCCTGTCTGTAACAAAATTCCCGTACAGAATGAAACAGCCCTTCCCGGTTCCCACAGAATTCCTGCCCAAAAACTCTCTCTACCTCCATAAATGTAAACCTTCAAATTACTCGATAATAACAAAACCATCTAGTTGTTTGTAATGGCGACTGATACTCTACCGCAGTCCCGGAAGCCGTCGTTTCTTACCCTGATTAACTCGCATGTAGCCAGCAGTTGGGCCGGGACGAGATTCAAGCTCGCCGAGCGGAACACCACCTTCACCACCGAGTTACGGGCCGGTACTACCACGTTCCTCAGCATGGCGTACATATTAGCTGTAAACGCCAGCATACTCGCCGATTCTGGGGGTACTTGCACAATCGCAGACTGCATCAACCCTCATGAATCCTGCAAGTTCCCTCCGGTTGACCATGGGTACGCCGATTGCCTGGAGAGAACGCGTAGAGACCTCATTGTGGCGACTGTCACGTCTTCTTTAATTGGGTGTCTGATTATGGGAGTTTTTGCGAACCTTCCGCTAGCTTTGGCTCCGGGGATGGGCAGCAACGCTTACTTCGCTTATACGGTGGTGGGCTATCACGGCTCTGGAAACGTTCCCTACAGAGGCGCCTTGGCTGCAATCTTCATCGAAGGGCTGATTTTTGTCTTCATATCGGCAATTGGGCTCCGCGCCAAACTCGTCAAACTCGTTCCAAAACCTGTTCGAGTCTCTTCTGCTGCCGGAATCGGTCTGTTTCTCGCTTTTATTGGGTTACAGGGCAAACAGGGGATTGGGCTAATCGGGTACAGTTCGTCGACCCTGGTCACCCTCGGAGCCTGCCCACGAAATTCTCGGGCATCCTTAGCTCCCGTTGTAACCGCCGCAAATGGTTCTGTAAGCTTGATTAGTGGCGGCACAGTCTCCGGCAATATGCTCTGTTTGGATCATCGGATGCAGAGTCCGACTTTCTGGCTGGGTATAGTTGGATTCGTTATTATTTCGTATTGTTTGGTGAAAAATATAAAGGGGGCAATGATATACGGCATCATTTTCGTCACGGTGATCTCGTGGCTCCGGCACACCACCGTAACGACGTTTCCCGATACAGAGGTCGGGAACTCCGCCTATCAATATTTCAAGAAAGTGGCGGATGTGCACGTAATTAAGAGCACCGCTGGTGCCCTGAGCTTCAAAGACATCGGAAAAGGGTATTTCTGGGAAGCATTGGCCACCTTTTTATACGTCGACATACTCGACACCACTGGTACATTGTACTCGATGGCACGATTCGCCGGATTCACAGATGCCAACGGCGATTTCGAGGGTCAATACTTTGCTTTCATGTCCGATGCGACTGCAATCGTGGTGGGGTCGCTTCTGGGTACATCTCCGGTTACTGTATTCATTGAGTCATCAACAGGGATCAGAGAAGGGGGACGGACGGGACTGACGGCATTGACAGTAGCTGGGTATTTCTTCTTGGCGTTTTTCTTTACGCCGTTACTGGCGTCGATCCCAGCATGGGCGATTGGGCCGCCGTTGATTCTGGTGGGGGTGATGATGATGAAGGCTGTGGTGGAGATCGAGTGGAGTGACATGAGGGAGGCGATTCCGGCTTTTGTGACGATGATATTGATGCCATTCACGTATTCGATAGCGTATGGGTTGATCGGAGGAATTGGAACTTACATTGTTCTACATCTCTGGGATTGGGGAGAGAAGTTGGTTGGAAAATTTGGAATCGGAAAACGATCGGTGATGGAAAGCG